AAAGCGTAGAAATCATTCTGCCCCCTTCCCTTCTCCCTTCCTCAAAGAAACAGCCTCTTGGTGTCACATCTACCCTTCCTTTATCGCAGACTGAGCAGAACAACCGAAGTTTCTCATTCTTTCTCTCTTCCTAATGATTGATCAGGGGTTTGGAGGCCTAGACCCACTCTCCTTAAGTCTTCTCTGTCTCTCCCTATCCCTCTCCCACTCTCTTTTTTTCTCTCCATCTCTCTCCCTCCTTCTCCCCTCCCTTCAGTGCTCCTACCTCTCCCCACTTTACTGCCCCTTTGTCTCTTGACTTATTCTTCCTCTCTTTCCCTTCTTACTTTCTTCCCTCCCACTATTGCTGTGGCAACTGTAGGCCCACTGATCTAGGACAGGTATTGATTGAAATCTACTGCAGACCCCTTTACAGGGGAAAAAACAATGAGCATCCTGAATGTTTGGTTGTCTTTTAAGCATTCAGTCATTTTTCATAGGTTCATGTCACTGCTGAGAATGCCCCTGTAGTCTCTGTGCTGGTGATTTCCATTAAATACCTTTTCTAAGAGCAACACCATTTAGTCGTTTTGTGGTTTCAGCTTTGCAAGCATCTTGTGACCAAGCCTAAACGTTCTAGTGACCCCCAACAGATTTTGTGGTATAGCAGACAGCTGCAGGAAGTTGGGGATCACTTTTCCTCCACTAGGTGTGGTCATCTTTCCCAATACTTTTTTAAAGAAGGATTCCATTTTTATTTTTTTAAAAAGGATCATAAATCCAAACAAGTTCCTAGAAAATCAGCAGTTTGCAAATTCCCACAAGAAGTAATAATGGCCAATAGAAAGCAAGACCTATCACTAGCCTATCTCCATTCCTCTCCAGTCCTCCCACTCAAGGGACCATATGGGAGGGAGAGGAAGCCCCCAGCTGAGTTCTTTGGATGAACAGTTAAAAGGCACTTTCTGTTCTAGGACAGGCACATAGTCAGCTTTGCCCTTGTTTCAGAATTTGGCATTTCATTTCATACCACTAGTCTCTTTCCTGAGGTGAAGATACCTTCCCAATTCTTTAAAAAAAAAAAAAAACTGCCCTGGACTTATTACACTCCCCAGCTGGGGTCCCACCTGTCATTAGTTTCTAAAATTCTTTTCAAAAAACTGCCTCCACCCAAGATCTCCAGTTTTTCACCAACAACCATCTCCAGACCTTGTAACCTGTTTTCCATGCCAGTCAATCTACTGAAACTTCTCTCTCTGAAATCCCCAGTGATCTCCTAAACAGCAAATATAATGGCCCCGTTTTTTTCAGACCTCGCCATCTCTTACCTCCTTGACATCCGTGAAGTTTTTGACATGACTGCCTCTTCTCTCCTTCTAGATACTTTCTTCTCTTTCCTTCAGAGATGCCACATCTGCTTGGTACTCATCCCATCTTTAATTCTTCTTTCTCTGTCCCCTTTGTTGGCTACCCGAGTTTTCCCCAAGTCCTTAAGGTACATGTTTCCCAGGGTTCAGCCCATGGCTCAATTTTCTTTTGGTATTTTCCCTATCATAAATTTTAAGTCCTGCAATGGGAACCAATATGTTAAAGAAAAGCTTTGGCAGAGAGTGGCAGAAGCCATAATGAAGTTACCAATAGTAACAATAATAGCTATTTATATAACACTTTTAGGCTTATAAAATGCGTCACACACTTAACATCCCTGTGAGGTAAGTTCTACAGTTATTTCCCTGTTTCACAGATGGGAAAACTGAGGCTGAGAGGTTAAATGGCTTGCTCAGAAGCGCAGAGCTAATAAATTTCTGATGGGGGATTTAAACCCAGATCTATTTGACTGTAAGTCCAGCTCTCTAGCTACTAAATATTGCCTCTGAGACGTGGGAAGAAGTTATGGAGAGAAATGAGCAGCAGCTGGGTCACTCTGCAGTTTTAACTAAAACCTTGCCAGCTTCATCTTTATGATTTTCTGAGTTTTATTGATGCCTTGGTCATTTCCTTTTATAACCTACCATCCCCGCCCCCCACACACACAGCCCGCATAATGAAGATGGATTAAAAAGGACGGAGAATCACCTTTGACGTACTGAGCATTCTGAACCTTTGGTCACCTATTTCCCTACTGAGTGGAGGAAAGTGTTTCATGATCCGTTTTATAGGACAAAGATTGGTCATTCTTCAGTTTTGTTTTTAGGGGCATCTAGCTTTACTGGGTTTTTTTTTTAATCATATTTTATCACAAGGAATACAGGAGAGGACAGAATAGGAATCCTTATATGAGCGGCTCAGATCCACCTCACCTGGCATCACCAGAAGGTGGCCATGCTGAGCAGGGAGGAAGTCGGGGTAATCAGGAGGTGACCTAAGGCACACGTATAGGAGGACGCAGAGGACATGGGCATAAACGTTCCTTTCTAGGAGTCTGACTGTAAAATGAGGAAGAGTTATAGGATCATAGTTTAAGAGAGTAGCAGGGTCAAGTGAAGAGTGGGGTAGTGTGTGTGCATGTGTGTGTGTGTGTGTGTGTTCTGTACCACTGGCTATTAAACACAGACCTTGGACTTCCTAAAGTGGAGGAAGCAGGATGCTCTGAAGAAGGGAGAAGCTGCCTGACCTCCCCAGAAGGATGTAAAAGGGCCGCAGAAACCATCCGGGGAAGCTCATCCGTCGAGCGACGGGGCTTCAAAGAAGAGGGGACTTGTATTAGCTGGAGGTTTCCTGCCTGGGGTTCTGAGATATCTGTTTATCTGTCTCCCTGCAGCGTGTGTCCAAAGCACAACAGAACTGAGTCGTCGCGATGGACGTCAGTGACATACTTCTGGTGGCTCATGTCTGGACGGGTGATGCTTTCAGAAGGAATCTAAATATTACCAAAGGTTGTTAAGCCTTGGGCAAGAAACTGAAGACCATACGGTGTTCTCCTCACTTTTGCACATCGAAGGTAAGGGATGCAGAGCGGCGAAGAGATGGCCGGGTGTTTGACAGTGGGATTTGGATTTCTGGACCATAGCTCCCGATACAGGGTTGACAGATGCCTGGCGAGAGGGAGAGTGCCCTTAACAAAGGCCATTAAATGCATCTGCCAAGTGTCTTGCAAATCTAATAAAAAGGGCTTTGGAATAAAAAGAGTGGGGAGAAAGGAGACTGCTTATGTATAGCCTTCAAGTTAGATGCTAGAGAGTGCAGTCACGCGGAAGGGAGAAGGGCAGCTTCGTCCATTCATAGGAGGTGGCAGTAAAATCCTGCCGAAACTCCAAGGATTAAGAAGGCCAGAGGTCAGAATGCAAGGAGGCACACATGGCTTCCTGCGCATCACTGAGATTTGGCGTGATGAGACCCGGGAGAGAAATACGGTTCTGAACGGGTATACTTTATTTAAAAGAGCGGGTAGGTAGGGTAGCATTTTGTACGAAGTAGGTATACTCGTGTGAAGTAATCCAGACACCGGAGGGACAAGCATTATGGAGAGTCATTTGGTGCAGGGTAAAGGAGATGTGATTTTGTCATTGGAGGATTTTTAACAGACAGTCCACTTGGACCGAAAGGAAATAAACAGATGAGGAGTTATGGAAACATCACGGGTGGAAAACAGAAGCATGATGCAGTAGTGACGGGGGGGCCTCAGTTATCCACACATATGCTAGAAATCTGCCCAAAGTAGTGCCTTAGTGATAATTTCACCCTTCAAAAGGAATCGACAAGGGAACCTGGCTTTAATTCTCACTAACAGGGAGGATCTGGTTGCTTGGGTAGAAATGAAGGGAAACGTTGGGGGAAGGCCCAACCTCTGACCCCCCATGTGCCCTCGCTGCTGGAGCACACACATCGATCAGTGGGGCCAGAGCAACGTCAGATTCCTCCCCGCCCCAGCTGCATCGAGGAGGCTGACGTCAGCAAGAGGGCACCAGCCTCCCCAGGAGGCCTCAAGTGTGCCCAGTGCTGACGTGACCCAGGGCTTACCGCACCCTCAGGGGCCGGCCCCTGGGAGCACCCAGCCAGCGGTTTGGGGACGCGCTCTTCGCTAGGCTCACAGAGAAGTGGACGCCCTGACGGACGTGGCCCGAAGCCTCTGGAACAAAAGTCCACCAGGCACCCCACCCTCCCCCTGCCCCCGTGATGGCACAGATGCCACCTTGAGAGGCAATTATTGCGTCTAACACCCCAGCGTCTCTGAGCTCACCTCCCCCATCACCAGCCTATTGATTGCTTCTAACTCAGCGAGCCCAAGCCAGCCCCTTCCAAATTCCCCTCTTTCTGCTGCAGGCCCCCCTCCCCACTCTAACCCCTTCTCTGCTCACACCCGCTGCCCCAGGAAACGCCCAGCTCATCCCAATGGCCTTCCCATTGATTCCCATACGCTCCCTTAAATGCAGACTGACCGTCACTCCACTAATGAACTCCAAGTGTTCCGTCCTGCCTCAAAGATAATCGGTAAACGCCTGTTTCGCTTCTTCAGTCCTTCCCAGTCTGGCTCCAACCCCCCTTTCCAGCGCTGTTGCTCAGCCCTCCTCAGCAGGGCCAGGAACGCACTCTCTCGTCTCCTGACCAAGGCACCCTCAGCAGCATCTTCTCGGTGAAGCCTGTCTTGATGAAGCTGTCGGTGGCCTCCCTCCTTAGCGACCTCATAGTGACTCTGGACATACTGATGCACATCCTTGTGGTTCCTCCATTGGAATTAAGCTCCGTGAGTACAGAGTTTCTGTGCCCAAAGTCTTCAAACCGTGCGTGCCCTTTGACCCAGCATGCCACTGCGAGGCCTAGACCGGACCTCAGATGCTTGCTAGCTGAGCGACCTTGGGCAAGTCTCCACCTAACCTCAGCCTGCTCACTTTCTTCATATATAAAATTAGGCTCATAAATAGCAGTTGTTGTGAGGATCAAATATTGGTAAATGCACTTAGCAGAGTGCCTGGCACATCGTAGGCACTATACAGAAATGCTTATTGTCTTTCCCCCAAAACCTCAAAGAGATCAAAGGAAGGAAAAGGACCCCATGTACAAAAATATTTATAACAGCTGTTTTTGTAGTGGCAAAGAAGGAGAAAACTAAGCAGAGAGCCCCCGCCCCAGAAGGGAACAGCTGACCACCTCCTGGGGCATGCATGGGATGGAATATTCTCGGGCTGTAGGAAACGGTGAGGGGGATGGTTTCAAAGAAACCTGGGAAGACTCCCATGACTGATGCAGATGAAGTGAGCAGAACCAGAAGAACTCTGATCAAACCCTCCTCCTGACAGAGGTGGACTTCTGGACACGGCCAGTGCCAGAGTCCGTTTGCATGACTGCCTGGGTTTGGTACAAGGCTTCTGTTTTTCTTTCTCTTGAATGGGATGGGAGGGGAGGGAGGTTGGGAAGGAGAGAAAGGGGATTTTCATTATATCATTTTTTAAAAAGTTTTAAAGCGCACAGAGTTTCATTTTTTGGGACTTGTACCCCCATGCCTGAGCAGTGTCTGGTACCCAGTAAATCCAACCATTCTGGAGAGCAATTTGGAACTCTGCCCAGAGGGCCACCAAACTGTGCACACCCTTGGATCCAGCAATACCACTACTAGGCTTGTATCCCAAAGAGATCAAAGAAAAAGGAAAAGGCGAGGCAGCTAGGTGGCGCAGTGGAAAGAGTACCGGCCCTGGATTCAGGAGGACCTGAGTTCAAATCTGGCCTCAGACACTTGAAACTTACTAGCTGTGGGACCCTGGGCAAGTCACCAAACCCCACTGCCTTGCAAGAAAGAAAGAAAGAAAGAAAGAAAGAAAGAAAGAAAGAAAGAAAAAGGGCCTATCTGTACAAAATATTTATAGCAGCTCTTTTCTCATGGCAAAGAATTGGAAATTGAGGGGATGTCCATCAGTTGGGGACTGGCTGAGCAAATCGTGCCATGTGATTGTGAGGGAATACTACTGTGCTGTAAGACATGATAAGCAGGGTGGTTTCAGAAGAACCTGTTAAGACTTACATGAACCGATGCAGAGTGAAGGGGCAGCTCGGTGGCGCAGTGGATACAGCACTGGACCGGAATCAAGAAGGTTCCCCTTCACGGGTTCAAATCCGGCCTCAGACGCTTCCTAGCTGTGTGACCCTGGGCACGTCACTTCACCGTTTGTCTCAGTTTCCTCATCTGTAAAATGGGCGGGAGAAGGAAACGGCCCACCACTGCAGTGTCTTTGTCAATAAAACCCCCAAATGGGGTCACACACGCCTGAAACAACTGAAGAACAGCGAGTGAACAGAGCCAGCGGACCCCATCCCCAGCAGCAGCGATGCTGTGATCACCACCCGCAAATGGCTTGGCTGTTCTTACCAGCACAGCGAGCCAAGACAGTTCCAAAGGACTCACGACGAAAGATGCTGTCCGGAGAGAGACCTGGTGAGAGACCTGAGGCAGACTGAGGCACACTTTAAAAAAAACAAACTTTATTTTTCTTGGTTTTTATTTTTTTCACAACATGGCTAATGTGGAAATACGTTTTGCATGAGCAGACGTGTAGAGCCTATGTCGAATTGCTTGCCTTCTCAAGGAGGGGAAGGGCAGAGAGGGAGAGAATTTGGAGCTAAAAAATTTTAGTAGCCTTTTATTTTTTCCAATTACATGGAAAGACAATTTTAACATTCATTTTCTTAAAACAATTTTGAATTCTAAATTTCCTCGCCCCCTTTCTTCCCTCCTCCCTAAGACAGTAAGCAATTTGATAAAGGTTATATATGTGCAATCATGTAAAACTTATTTCCCTCTTAGTCACACTGTGAAAGAAGAAACAGAGCAAAAGAAAAAAACCACACAAAAAATTTTAAGTGAAAATAATATGCTTCGATATGTATTCAGACTCCATCAGGAACTCAACATTTTTGAAATGGAGGTCAAAAATTGTTCTTACATGTAGCCGGAAAACCAGAATATGAATATAAACAAAGACGGCACATTCCTTTTCTGGCACGGCCACTGATTTACCACAAAAATCAGCCATGCGCTCCTGGGCACGATCACCTCTCCTGCCCACAAAGCCCTTCCTCGTGAGAGCCCCCACACTAGGTACATGCAGGGGGAGGGATGAGGAGCTTTGGGTTGGCATAGATGGTGCCAGTCCATTGAAGGGTGGGCATACATGCCCACTGACAACCCCAAGGAGAGGAGCTGGGTGGCATCCATTGGGCACACTTGGTAACAGCCTTCTGTGATGGGGGAGGGGGGTCCCAGGCTAGTCTCTGTGCTGAATTGGGATGGTCACTGGCTTCATCCATGGGGTGAGTAGCCACCTCTTTGTGCCGGTGTATAAAAGGTCTTCATCCCAGACTAGGGCCTTTCTTACCCCTTTGCCTTTCCCCCGCAGATCCTCTGAACAGCAGGGCTAAAAACAGACTCAGGTTCTTTGGGGAGGGGAGGGAAGTCTGGGCAGAGGGCTTGGCAGAATCTGAACCCTGCTCTCAACCCTGTGGCCCAAGAGGAGAGTTCCCGGACCCCAACCCTGTGGCTGTGGGAGGCTAGCAGCATCACCTCAGTCCAAAAGATGGCAGCTATGGAGAAGACCCCACTTGGTCCAAGTGGTAACGTCCCAGAACCCGCCTCCTGAATAGACGCATGACCCCAGCATCATCTTCCAGAAAGAGTGGTGATCAGCTCTTGGGAGAGAAGACACCATCACGGAAGCCAGAGGGCGAAAGCCAGGCCACAGGGGAGCAAAAGGCCTTCCACTGAGCTGTCTGGACAGCTGGGGTCTTCATGCTCACCTACTCCGCCCCACATTCATTTACCCTCTGCAGAGAACCCAAGCATTCAAGGCGGTGCTGTCAGGCTGGATCTCAAAGTGGGACTCACCAGGTGCCCCCTCAATCCCCTCCAAGGAGGATTCCCTGAAGAACAAGCACGTGCTTGGGGGGGATCAGGAAGGCGGGGTGCCTCGGGGCGCGTCAGGGACAAGAATGGGCCGGTCGCCTTCTCGGAAGCCCAAGCTGCTTCCCCTCTGCGGGGGGACCCAAGACCCTGAAGGACGGCCCTCGCTTGGGAGCAGACTCATTCTGGCTGATTGGAGGCCCCTGGTGAGTCCCTGAACGTCCTGTAGATGCACCAACCTTGGGTGCTTGGACGGGAGCCAGGACCCTTTTATCGACATTTGAGAAAACCTAGACCCAAGCGCTTTCAACAGTGTTCTAAATTTTCCAGCAGCAACTCTGGGGATAACATGAGCTAGTCCCCAAGAATGAGCCCCATCAGGGGAAGCCCAGAGCTTGGGGCGCAGGGCCACCGCTCACGGGGCACTTTTGCATTACTTCCCTGTCTCTGTGCTGCTCTCATTAGGCCGTGCATGTCTTCGTAGCCCCAGAACTGATGCGGTGCCTTCCAACGCGGGGCAGGCGTATAAACATGCCTGGATGGAACCGCCCCACCCGTCTGGCTCCCCTCCCCTTGGTCCAGGTGATTCTTTCTCCACAAGCCCCTTGGGAGGTGGGGGACATTTTCCAAATGAGGAAACTGAGGGCCAGAGACACTGATGAGCTTCCTGCAGTCACACAGCACAAATCAATGGCCCAACAGCAGCTCACAGCCTTCCTTCCAATGATGCCCCACAAAGTTTTCCAACTGAGGGGAGGGTCCTCTGCTGGGCGTGCCAGGAGCTGGGTTCCAATGCTGGCTCCAGCATCACCTGCCCTGGGGCTTCTCTCCTCAGGGCCTGAGCCCGGCACACAGTAGGTGCTTAACCGACTGCCTGACCTCTGTGGGTGTGGCCTGCCGACAGAGAAGGGCTGGACCAGATGGTCTCCTGCCCACTCCAGCTCTAAATACTACGGACTCATCACAGGCAAACGGAATGGAGGGAGAATCAGTCTGTATTTGATTCATGCGCAAAGGTGTCCAGGGGGAAGAGGGACGTGGGCACCGCGTGGCTGATGGGGGCTGGAGCCTGGAGGCCCGGGGAGCCGCCGGGTCGGGGCACATGAGCCGTGGCCCTCTGATCCCACAGGCCCTTGCGACAGACTGAGGAAGGGGGAGTGGGATGGGGGAGGGGAGCCGGTCAGGTCTCCAGCCACCAGGAAAAACCATATTCCTCCGGTTCGTGACTATACCAGTCACTGGTGATGACCAGGTGCGGTTTGCTCTCCTCGGCCGCCTTCAGCATCTGCTGCGCGTCCTCGCTGAACGCCTCCCTCCACAGCCTGGGGAAGGAGCAAAGGGTTTATCAGCTAAGCACCTACTGGGTGCCAGGCACTGTGCCCAGTGCTGGGGATAGGAAGACAAAATTCAAACAGTGTCCACAGCACTGAATGGCCTCTTCTAAGGCCCGAGCTCCAAGCCCTCACCCCCCAGGTACCCCCTGCATCCCACTCACTTGGGCTTTGGATTCCAGGCTGCCTTGCCCCAGGTTTTTCCAAGGGGTTAGTTCTACGACATAACTCGCTATGTGACCTTGGGGAAGTCCCTTCCTCAATCAGGGCCTCAGTTTCCTCCTGTGTAAGGTGTATGTGGGGTCCAGTTGACAGGACTCTGCCCCCTCGGGCATACGTCTCCCAGCTGGCCCAGGAGAGGGCACAGGCACCAGACCTGGGCTCAGAAGCCAAGGCCAGAAGGGAGCAACGTCTCTGTGGGACACCCAGAAGGACAGTTATATCATTCTTATTTCTGTGTTCTATCAGTGTGGGTAACTCCCCAACAGTGCCAATTAGAACCATGCATTTGCTTGGCATGGGGTTGTCCACAAAGCCCAGCCTCCAGGCTTCTCTTCGCCGGCCCGATACCTTGAGTGCTTTCGTGACTCTCCAAGGACGGATGGCAAGAGCCCCTCTCCTCATACAAGGTGCCTCCAAACAGTGACCGCACTCCGCCATGGAGGACTGGTGGTGGGCGTAACTATGGCCCCCCCTCCAAAGGTGCAGGGGGCCCTAGTCATCAGCGGGTGAGTCAACCTGACAGCCCCGACTGAGCTGGGTGGTCCCCTCAGGATACAGGCTCGTGCCAGCCAGTCAGCTCCCCGTCTATTTGGCTCACTAGGCCTTGCTGGGGCAGGCTCTTGGACCCCAGGGATCAAAGGGGGATGTCTCTAGGGAGCCCCGTGCCTACCAGAGGGCACTTACGCCAGGATCTGCAGTTTGCATTCAGGCTGCTCTAAGGCCTTGCACAGCAGCCTCACGCCTTCGTCCCACAAGGCATTCTGGGCCAGGTCGAGACTCTTCAGCCGTGGATTGCAGAGGAGAACGGAGGAGAGATCCTGACAGCAAGCGGCGTTCAGCTGGCATCTCTCCAGCCTACCAGAGGGAGACAAGCAGGGCAGCTGAGAATGACCCGGCCCCGGAGGGGGCGGGGGCACTGGAACCCAGCGGCAGGGAGGCCAGCCCTTGGGCTGGAGGCCCCGCTCACATACTCATTCCCTGTTCCACAATCTACCTGGTGTCCCTATTCCTCTATTAAAACAGTCCATGTGCAGGGATGGTTCCATCCAACTGTCTCCAAGGCACCCTGACGTCAACACGGCTGACACCGAACTCGTCACCATCCCCCTAACCCCGTGTGGGGCTCCCCATCGCTTCTCCAGTTAGGTTAATGAGGCTGCCCTCTTCCCAGTCTCCTGACCTTGGAGTCACCTTTGACCTTCCTCCCTTCCTTACCAGAGAGCCAAGGGGATGCTCCATGGCTGGAGAACACCTGCCTGTTCCTCCTGTCCATTAAGGTCCCCCTCAGTTCTGAGACGCTGATTCTACCTCATCTTAATCTCCAGAAGAAAGGCCGGCATGTGGATGTTGGGGAAGTGTCAAGGACAAGCCCTGCCCTCCATGGGTTTACAGTCTTGGTGGCATCCCTCTTGGGGGGCAGCAGGCCTGGGTCCCACCAGGCCCCCCCGCATACCCAAGCCTCTGGAGCTGGCAGCTGGGGTGTCTCAGGGCATCGCACAGCAGCTTGACCCCCGCGTCTTTGAGGGCGTTGTATCCCAGGTTCAGGCTTCGCAGGCTCTGGTTGAGGATGAGCATGTCCGAGAGGTCCTGACAGCAGGCCTCGGTGAGGAAGCAGACCAGGACGCTGCGGAAGAGGCCCGGTCAGGTCAGGCGTCAGTGTGCTGGACGGGTGACTCTAGGCAGGTCCCTTCACCTCTGCCTGCCTCGGTTTCCTCAGCTCTAAAATCCGCGCCTCCCTCCCAGGATTGTGCTGACTGGTTACTGTTCCAGTTACACACCAGCCAGCTGTACACACATCCTCCCTCCCCGTGAGATGGCGATGCCCACAGGCCTCTGCACACGAGGCACTAAATAACGGCTGAGAACAACAGGGACTTACTCCAAGGCCTGAAGGTTGCACTGCGGCTGCCCCAAGGCTGCACACAGCAGCTTCATGCCTTCATCTCCAACCTCGTTCTCCCCCAGGTCCAGGTGGGTCAGGTTCTTGCTGCTGAGGAGCGCGGCGGAGAGATCCTGGCAACCCGCGGCCGTGAGGCCACAGCTCCACAGCCTGTGGGACGCGGATGGACACAGGCATGGACGTGGGCAGACGCACACGCCCCCCAAACATGGATCGACGTGGACACACGTGGACACACACACCCACATATGGCCACACGTGCACACGACACGTACACACATGTGCATGCACACATAGAGACATGTACACAGACACACATGAACTCGCACACACACCCATATACAGCCACACAGATGGACACACATTCACGCACATACATGTGTGCACACAGAGACATGTAAACACGTGTACACACAGACACACAGACACACGTGCCAGCAGGGCATACACTCACGCACATGTGTGCGCACAGAGACACACACGTGCACACGACACACATGCTTACAAGGCACACATTCCACACATGTGTGAGCACAGAGGCACACATATACACAGACACGTGCACACACATGTATACACACACTCATGCACATGTGTGCGCACAGAGACACATGTACACATGCATGCACACAGAGACACGCACACACACACACAGACACACACATGCACTCTCTGAGTCCCCCATTCTCCCAGGACCCCTCTAGCTCAGGACACAGCATCTGCCTCTGAATCCCAGCATCCCTGGCGTATTTGGGGTGGGGGCTCTTGCTCAGTCCCCGAGGCTGGCTGGCCCTAATTGTTAGCAAGTTTTCAAGGCCAAGGCTCTGCAGCTCCCCTTTTCACTCAGCCTTGAAACGGGTGCCCGAGGCCTGTCCCTCCTCCTTCCACCCAGGTATCACTGGAGGGCCTAGCTTCCAGGTTTAGGAAGGGAAAGGCGAGGCAGGCAAACTTAACAGAGGCAGCGAAGAAAGGCTCCCCAGGCACCGCAGCCCCACCGGCTACGGAAGGGGGCCGGCCCCCTGCCCCTTGATAGCCAAATATGGGACCTGGACGGCCCACCTGCCCCTGGGTTTCAGCCAGGTTTCCAGCCTGCAGAGCCCACGAGAACATGGTGCCCTGCGGAACCCTGCGGCCTTCCCGGAGGCCCCCACGGCTGGTGTGTGCCAGGAGACGTCCCAGGGATCACCAGGCCAATAGCCCCCAGTTCCCACAGGCCGCCTCCTGGCTCTTGCCTGTCCTGCGGGTGATTCACCCCCGCCCCCTGGGGCCTGCCCCTGCAGAGGGGCCCAGGCCAAGCTGCCTTCACTCCCCTCTGGCCCAGTTCCTTCCCTCCCTCTGAAGCCACGGCCTCCTGTCGGGCCCCTTCACTCTCCTCGCTCCACCTCGACTGACACTTTTTGGCTCCCTCTAGCGTGAGGCTCCCCAAACTAGAAAACCAGCTCTGAGGCACGCTTGCAGCTGCCTCCCCAGAGCTTAGAACAGCACCTGGCACAAGTCCTCCCTCCCTGCCTGCCTTCTTCTCCCTCTGTCCCTCCCTCCTTTCCTTCCTCCCTCTCTCCTCCTTCACTCTCTCCTTCTTTCCTCCCTCCCTCCCTTCTTCCCTCCCTCCCTTCCTCCTTTCCTCGCTCCCTCTCTCCTCTTTCCCTCCCTCCCTCTCGTCCTTCTTTCCTCTCTTCTCCTCCCTCCCTCCCTAACTCTCAAAGCCACGAGCCGCCATCCAGGAGACCACCGGGGCTCACGTCAGTCTCCGGAGGGGACACTCGGGGAGTTTCAAAGCCGTGCTCAGGATCTTCACGCCGTCATCCCGAAGGCTGTTGTGGGCGAGGCACAGACACGTCAGATTCAGATTCCGGCTGGCGGTGAGAGCAGCAGAGAGATCCTGGCAAGCACCGCCTGTCAAGCCGCATCCCGCCAACCTGCAAGAGACACACACACAGAGGTGGGAAATGACCCTGGGCCCTCCACTGGGGGAAGTGGACCGTGAGAAAATCAGGAGAGGGTCCAGGAGAGAAGTCCTGAGTAAGCACACACGAAGGTGAAGGCGAAGGTTAGAAGAGGGGGAGGAGAGGAAAGGGAAGCAGTGTCTGCAGTGGGGCGCAAACCACGCAACCCGTGGTTATCCAGCCTCTGGTTCCCCCAAAGAGGGAGGCCCAGCCCTGCTGCTAGGAAGCTGTTCCCAACATCAAAACTCCCTCTTGGCAGCCTCCCCGCATCGCTCCTGACTCTGTCCTCTACAATCAGACAAAGCCGGCGCGACCCCTTCTCCACACGAGTCCCGCGGATGCCAACGTCAGCCTTTTTGTCCCCCTCCCATGGCCGCCCCCCATCCCCACCCTGGCTGTCCTTCTTCGGCTGACTTACTTCAGGGGGGTCCAAGGAGGGCCATCACTTCCCTATTCCCGGGACCAGAGCCCCTCCTAATGCAGCCCAAGATCTCAACAGTCAGGAAGACCCGAGTTCAAATCCTGGCTGTGTGACCCTGGACAGCACTTCTCTGGACCTCAGTTTCCCCATCTGTAAAATTAGAGGGTCAGCCTCAACCGTGAAGTCGACGATGTTATGGGTCTGTCCATCCAATCAGCGATGGGCTGTGTTATCACCTAGTGCACATCACTCCGTCTCCTCCACAAGAAGAGCGGGAAGTAGCTTATCAAAAGCTTGGCCACAATCCAGGGAAAAGAAGACGAGGTGGGTCTGCGGGGCCTGCTCCTGGTGAAGCCAGGCCGGCTCCTTGTCATCACTGCTTCCAGCTCTAGATTTTAGCCGACTGGCCTTTCGGTGATTTCTTCTAGAATTTTTCCAGGGATCAAAGTCAAGTTCACTGGCCTATACGTTGTGGCTCTGTTCTCTTCCCGTTTTTCAGGACATCTGCTATTCTACAATCCTGTGGTATCTATCCTGGTTTCTTTCTTGATTTTTTTTAATCAGCAAAAACCCACCTTTTCTCCCTCCCATCCACTCCCCCCTCGAGAACAGTAAGAAAAACCAAACCCCTCATACAAACGTGTATCGTCAAGCAAAACAAACGTCCACCCTGGCCTCATCCAAACAAGCTTCATCGCCGGTCTTCTGGAACTGTGGCTGATTGCAACGCAGCTCAGGGCTCCTGAGAGCTGATTCTCTTGGCGGTACTGCTTTAGTCTATCAACTCTTCTCTTGGTCCTGTTCATACACGTCTTCAAGGTTTCTCCGAAACCGTGCCCTCCACGATCTCTTACAGCACCATTGCTCCATCACACCCATGCGCTCTAACTTGCTCAGCCATTGCCCAATTGATGGGCAGCCCCCTTTTCCAATTCTTTGACACCAGAAACAGAGCTGCTCTAAGTATTTTTGTACATCCTTAGCAGCTGTTTTGCCTAGGGCTGAATCTAACCTCCGCTAACACCCCTTCTCTCTTCCTCCTTTTCCGGCCTATTTCTCTTCTTGAGGGAAATGCATTTCCGCACCCAAGTGTGCATGTGTACTTCTCTCTCCTTTCACCAGTTCAGATAAAAGCCACCCCCCGCACCGCTTCCTCCGTTTGTAGAGATACCTACTCGTGCATCCTGACTTGCCTTCCTCTCCCTTCTCCTGTCCCTGTATTCCTCTTCCCCTCTTTCCATCCATATTTAAGAACATCAAGACATAACAGGCCTTGTCTAATCAAACTCCCCTCCATGACCTCTGATGATAACAGGGTTCTGAAGGGGCACATAAATTATCTCCCCATATTACAGTACAGACAGTTTGTCCTTGGTTAGTCCCTTATGACTGTTCATTCACGTTTACCTTTTTATGTTTCTCTTGACTCCTGTGTTTGCAACTCAAAGTTTCTATTCAGTTCTGATCTTTTCACCAGGAATACTTGGATGTCCTCCGTGTCACCGAAGGTCCATTTGCTCCCCTGCAGCATTAGATCCAGTTTTGTCACGTAAGTTATTCTTGACTGTAAAGCGCATATCTTTTGCTTTCTGGAATATCATATCCCAAGCTCTCTGCTCCTAAAAATGATGGCTGCTAAGTCCTGTCGATCTGCTTCTTGGTCAGCTGTTTTCGCTATGACATACCTCACATTTTTTCCTCTTTTTCTCAGTCTTTTTAGTTTGTTTTAATATTTCCTGTTGCCATATGGAGTCACTGGCCTCTACTTGGTCCACTCTAATTGCAGGGAGTTGGTTGCTTGTGCAAGGTTTTGTACCTCTTATACCCAGCTGTCAATTCCCTAATTCTTTCTTCCACAGCCCTCGGTTCTTTTCTCATTTTTTCTGCTAGTGCTCTCATTTCATTTATAAAAAACATTTTCAACTCTTTAAAAAAGAACCAACAACTCCTGCTTCATCCCTTCCAGGAATTCTAACTACATTTGTGCCCCAACTGTGTTGTTGCTGTTATTTTCCTCCGGCTCTGCCTGTAGATATCTTGGGGTCATTCTCTTCTTCTGGGTTTGCGTCCTGAGCATCCCTCACAACACGATGGCTTTTTCTGGTGGGATTCTTCTTCTTCTTCTTTTTTTTTTTTGGTTTATTTTTCCAGCCTAGATTTTGGACTTAATGTGAGGGCCAAGCTTTGCCGCGCTCCTACGGGGAGGGTCTGCACTGATCCTGTGGCTGCTTTTTTCTGGAATCTCAGGGACAGGCTGGGGACCTGCCAGCTTCCAAGCCTCCCAAAGGGGTCTGATGCAGGGGAAAGTCTGATTGCTGCCCTCTAGTCTGAGCTCTGAAAGTTCCTGACCTGGGTTTTGGTCAAGCAAGAGTAAGCAGATGCTGCTGGCCTCCACCCTTGTCAGCAGCTGTCCGGCTCTGCTGGGTCAGAGCCACAGAGCTGGAGGCTTCCCTTTGGCCCGGTTATTCAGCTGCAGGCTCCAGACTGGGCTGGACGCTGGAACGGCGACCCTGCTCTGCTCCTGGACTTCTGAGCTCGCTCCTCCATCAGTATGCAGCCTAGGGCCCGCACCTGTTCCTCACTCTGGAACGCCACACCCAGGCACAGGTCTAGGAACTAGAAAAAATTTATAAACCAAAAACAATCTCCTATGAGTCTGAATTACGTTTGTGGGAATAACGTAACTGAAAACTACTCTTTAGGTATCTGGAAGATGAACTGGTACCGCTTACATTTGATGCTAAAATCTAGGACTCTGAGATCCTAAAATATGAACCTGAAATACCTTGATTTGAATGAGAAACTGACAAATCATGCCTATTATTTATCCACTTCCCTTCCCTCCCTCACTGGGGCTGCCCTGGCTCTTGGCCTCGGGCTGGGGAGGAGGCAGCGCCTGCTCCAGAACTCCACATGATTCAGGCCCCTCTGTGTTGGATCTGAGAGCTCCTTGTGCTACGGTGTGCTGTGCTCCCGACAGGTCAGGCCAGGGTCATTTAGAAGACCTCACGTGATGGGGAGCTCATGACCTCACAAGGTGAACCATTCCACTATTGTCTGATTACTGGGAAGTTCTTTGGACAGACCCAGAGCTACCTCCCTGGGATGTCTAGCCGTCGCTGCCCCCAGAGCTGCCTTGTGGGGCCGAGGAGAGCAAGGCCAGACCTTTCTCCATGTGCCAGCCCCGACCACAGCTCTCCCTCCCTCCTCCCGCTGCAGCCTCACGTCCTCCGTGCTCTCACTGTGTGACCCCAAGGCTCTTCAGCACCCCAGACCCTCTCCTCTGGACACACATCCACTTGTCAGTGTTCTTCCTCAAACATGGCACCCAGGCCTTCCCACAGGGCCTTCAGGAGAGGCAGGGAGGGCCACCTTCAGAGACTCCAAATCAAGCCCTCATCCCTGTCCCCACAACCCTGGAGACAAGCCTGAGAGGCGGCAGCCCCCAGCCCCTCTCAAGCCTGGCTATCACACAAAGCCAGCCTACAAACTGATTTGTAAAACGCATTATGACACCACCAAGCAACCCTGACAAGACAGGAAGGGAAGGAGGGGCGACCACTTACACCAGTTTCTGGAGGTGACACTCCGGCTGGCTCAAGGCCCCACACAGCACGTGCACGCCGCTGTCCAGGAGCTGATTCCCCCCCAGGTTGAGATGGGTTAGGCTCTGGTTACAGGCGAGGGCCCCGGCGAGATCTGGACAGCAAGCCTCGGTGAGGGCACAGCTCTTCAACCTTGGTGGGGGAGGCAAGGCAGACAGAGTGTCATCGAGGCCGCCTCCCCCCGCCTCCTGCCCCCATCAGCCCCCCGCTTCTCCCCTCCCTCTCTCGTCTCTCCTTCCCTCTTTCCCACTCCTGCGTCTCTCTCCCCAGCCCCCTCATTCCATCCCTCCCTCTCCCTCTTATTTTTCTTTCCTTTCCTCTCTTCCTCCTTCCCTTTTCTTCCTTTCCTCTTCCATTCTGTCTCTCTCCTCTGTGTCTGTCCCTGTCTGGCCCATCTCTTCTCTATGTCCCTCTCCTCTGCCTGTCCCATCTCTCTCCTCTGTGTCTCTTCTCTGTCTGTACTCGTCCCCCTCCCACCCTCCATCTCTCTCCTCATCCCTCGCCCCCGCCATGTTTCTATTTCTCCCTGAAAAGGAGATGACTGCCCCATGCACAGAAGGAGCAGGAAAGGGAGAAGGTGCAGGCGGCACAGCCAAGACGACTGGGAAGCCTTGACCAGGTAGAGGCAGCAGGTGACTGACAGGGAAGGAGACACTGGAGAGAACTGGAGGGAGGGAACGAGAAAGCTGAGAGAGGAAAGAAGATGCCTCGGCCTGGGGAGGAAGGAGAGAAGCAGAGAGCACCAGTACAACAGGAGGGCCAGCCAGAGCGGGAGGAGGTGCCCCGGGGCTGGGCAGAGCAGGACGCCATCCCCCTATGGCCACGCTTCAGCTTTATCCACAGGAGAGGCAACTACCTGGCTCACTGTCACTGAGTGCCTATCAAAGCTGGAATCTGAACCCAGGCCTCAGCCCCCAGCTCCTGCCCACCTGACGCTTCCTGCTGCCCCCTCGTGGCCAGCCTCGGAAGGGGAGAAGACCTCAGACCAGGGGTGCCCTGAGCCCTGCATCTTCTCCCTCCTGCACCAGCCCAATCTCCCAACAGGGCACAGCAGCCCTCCCCCTGACTGCAGGCTTCCCATCTCCTGCTGTGCCAGTCCTCGGAGGGTAGAGGGGTGGTGCCCTCCATCCCCACACCTGGTCATACCCTTCACATCCCAGTGACTCATCTGTAGATTAGGACCCAAACCTACTCCCTCCCACCTGATTCCCCTTGCCCATCCTCGCAACCTCCCACCCTGAAGTTCCAGCCCAACTCCCCACAGCCCTTCCACTGTGCCCTCTGGGATGTTTGGTCCTTTACTTCAATCTGTTTCTCTCCCGCTCCATCCATCTACTCTTACTGAAACCTGGCTTCTCCCTGAAGACACAGCCTCCCTGGCTGCCTCTCCAGGACTGGCCGCACCGTCATTCATTCTCTCGGCTCACCGGTCAAGGTTCCCCTTAGCTGTCTCCAGGTTCTCCCCTTCCTCCATCCCTCAGTGGCCTCTCCTCCTTTGAGGTTCATGCCAATCATATCTCCCACCCAATCACAATCCTGGCAGCTGTTGTGCCACCTTCCTCCCTCAGTGAGTTTGGTCCCTGGCTCACAATGTTTCTCTTCTCCCCAACATCCTACGGCACTTTAACATACTTACAGACTCTCCATCAAACACCCTGACCACTCAGATACAGGAGCAAGAGAGCGAAAGCAAGAGTGCGAGAGAAGGAGAGGGGAGGAGAGGGGGCAGTGGCCCAAAGGAGTCGGTGCTGAGGACCTCTTGGAAGGCTAACCTCAGATACTGGAAGTTACAATGTGGGTGTCTCAAGGCCTCACACAGCAGCTTCATTCCATCGTCCCCCAGCAGAAGGTCCAGGTCAAGGCCCACCAGATGCCGGTGACCAATGAGAGCAAGCAGGAAATCCCCACAGGCAAAGGAGACGAAGGCAGTCTGCCGGACCCTGCAGCAGAGGAAGGCTAGAAATGGACACGGTCGTTCCTTCGGCCTCCACCAAGGCCCTCCCTAGAATGGCCTGGTTTTTGTCCCACTGATCCCCCAGTACTGCCCACCCCAGTTCCCTGGTGAGTTCCACTCATCTCTTTCGGGGATCTTCCAAAAGCTGTAGGTAGAGCAGGGAACAACAAGAAAAAGGAAAAGGAAGAAAAGTGGAAGGAAGGGTAGAAGGAAGAAAGGAAAGGAAGGAAGGAAGAGTGGAAAGAAGAGAGGAAGGAAGGAAGGAAGGAAAGAAAGAAGGAAGGGTGGAAGGAAGGAAAGAAGGGTGGAAGGAAGGAAGGAAGGACCAGCACATAGAGCAGTTTAAGGTTTGCAAAGAGCTTTACAAATATCACCTCATTTTATCCTCACAACCATGCTGAGAGGCAAATACTACTACAATCCCTATTTTACAGATGAGGAATTCAGGCAGACAGGTTAGCAATTTGGATATTTCCAACAGGAACCCACAGACTAAAATTCTGCAGAAGTCACGCCAGGAAGAATGGGAAACTGAAGGCTCGGAGGGTAGCGATTCCAGTGAAGAGGAAAAACAAGGGATTCCCAACAAGAGTGGTGTGGATACCCAGCAAATGCACCAAACAATCTTGAAAAACGTCCCCAGATTCTCTCACTCTCTGCCCACCCCCACACCCAACCCCTCCCCTTGTCCAGTCAAATGCCTAGAAAAGCTGTCTACACTGGCTGGCTTCCTCCTTACCTCCCGCTCACTGAGCCTGCTCTCCCTGAGGGTCCCAGAGGTTTCCTGACTGCTAAATGGGATGGCCTTTCCCCATCCTCCTCCTCCTGCCTGCTCAGCAGCTGTGCTCCCATTGGCCAGCCCTCAGTGGCTACTTTCTCCTGGTTCTCCGCCCTCCCCCGCAGCCTGGCTGCTCACCATCCATCTCCCCCCAAACAGCGTGAGGCTCTGCCCCAGACCCCTCCTCTTCTCCCTCCATACTCTCCTCTCTTACTGAGTTATCTTGGCATTCCACGAGTTCAAGGATCATTGCTAAGCAGATCCAGCCCTAACCTCTCTCCTAATGCTGGTCCTGCATGGCCACCCACCCTTGGACATGTCCACATGCAAGTGCCAGCAACAAATCAAACCCACCCTGTCCGCGTCCGGCCAGCCCCGCCACGCCCTTGGGGGGCTCACCTCAGAGTCTGTAGGGGACAGTCTGGGTGTGTCAGCTGTTCGCTCAGGCTCTTCACGCACAGGTCATTCATGGAGGAGAAGCTCAGCTCCATCTCCCGCAGGGCAGCATTGGTGCTCAGCACCGAGTACAGGGCCTTCCACCGCGAGGCAGTGAGGTCTGAAGCCTGGGCCCTGGACGAGAGAAGAAACGGACAGTTGGTCAACTAGCCCAAAGGGAGCACCGGCTTTGCCGTCTGGGAGGCCTGAGTCTAGCCCGAATGAGAATGACCAGCGCTGACCTAGCACACACGTCAGCTCATGCGGTCCCTGCCTGTGATCCCCATCTTACAGGGAAGGAAACCGAGGCAGGCAGAGGATGAGAGAGACAGCCAACAAGTGTCTGCGGCGGGCTTTGAGCCCCTGGCCACCCACCGCAGCAGCATGGCAGGAGCCCGGGGGCCCTCAGGTGCAGGCCAGGCGGAGGCTGGCGCTCACCCAGGCTCGACCGGGGAGCTGGCCTGCAGCTCCTCGTCCGGGTCCTCGTGGAAGACTTCCCTCTGGATGTGGAGTACCAGTTTCTCCAGCCGGCGGCAATGGCGCAGGCAGTAAGAGGACACCAGCAAGTCCACCTTGCTCCAGAGCACGAGATGCAGGTCCCGGAAGTGGTCCATGGCCTCCGTCACAAAGGCGCTGTCCTGCGTCTCATACAGGCTGAAGAAGAAGTGGTGCAGGGAGAGGGCGCGCAGCGACGGCGTGGTGGAGCCGCTGAACACCGCGGCCCACAGTAGCAGGTCCCGCCGCAGCCGGGGGGACAGGCGGCAGCCCAGCTCTGCCTCCAGGAGCCTCACGCACTCAGGGTTTAAGAGGCCAAAGAGGAAGTGCACAGCCAGGCTCAGAAAGCTGGTGTCCACCCCTGAGTACTTCCCCAGCTCTGTGGTGAGGCCCTGGACTGTGTGTGCCACCGATGGGCTCTGGGTCACCTCCATCCCGCTGTACAGGGCGGCAAAAAACTCCTGCAAAGTCAGGTGGAGGAAGGAGTAGCCAGGCCCCCGCCGAAGGAGGATGTGCGTGGCTAGGAAGGGCCCGAGGTCGGCTGCGGCCAGCCTGAGCCTCTCCAGGTCGCTGCCGTCGAAGCTCGTGGCGTGCGCCAGCACCCTGTCGGCAGCCAGGCGACACAGAGCCTGCAGCTGGGCCTCGTTGGGTGGGGCGCGGCCTCGGTACAGGCTGGTCACGTAGGACACGTAGAGATGCGTCGCGGTGAGGGGGCCCTGGCGCAGGTCCTCCCCGTCCTCCAGCCTCTGCTTCAGGCCCGTACAGATCAGCCAGCAGACCAGCGGGGCACGGCACAGGGTGGCCAGCGTCTCGTTGTCCCGCGTGGCGGCCAGGGCGGCCCGTGCGCTCGCCCTGTCCCCAAAAAACCTGTGGAAGTAGCCCTCGCAGTCAGCCTTGGACAGCCCCAGGACCTCGACGAGCTGAGGGCAGCCCAGCCAGCGTGCCAGGCAGGCCCAACCCGAGGGCCGCACGACCAGCAGCAGGCAGGCTTCGGGCAGCAGGCTTCTCCGGAGCAGGCCCTGGAAGAGGCCGGCCAGAGGCCGCCGCTCAGCCCCATCCCGACACAGCTCGGCTTCGGGCCCGTCCAGGAAGGGCCTCAGCTCCTCCAGACCATCCACGATGAATAGGAGACTCTGGGGCCGTGACAGGATCTCGGGGACGGGGACTGGCGGGCCAGGCCACTCGCTGGCGATCAGCTCGGCCATGCTCCTCTCGACCGTCCCGTCCATGTCTCCAAGGTTGAAGTAGAAGACGTACCAAAATGTGTCCCGGCAGAGGCGCCCGCGAGCCCAGTCCAGCATCAGCTTCCTGGCCAGCACAGTCTTGCCGATGCCCATAGGCCCCTGCAGGACCACGGTGCTGGGCCGCTGCTCGGTCCCATCGTCGAGCTGGAACAGTGCCCCCAGCTGCCCAGCCTGGCCAGGGATCTCACTGAAGGGTGGCCCTTCACCAGGCGGGAGCTCTGAGCCCTCCTCTCCGATGACCACCCTGACCTTGGCACAAGTGCGAGACAAGAGCAGAGTCACGGGCCCATACAGGAAGTTCTCCTGCTCCCGGGGCCACGAGTCTTCGGCCCTCAAAGAGCTGAACTTCTCCGCCACCCACGCTCGGTATCGCCGCCTGTCATCTGCGTTGAGGAGAGAGCAGGAGAGACACAGGTTACGGCAGGTGTGCGGGGACCGTCTCCCCTGAAGTGCCCCAACCCAGCCAAGGCCCTGACCACAGAGAAGACAAGTGTCTTGTCCCTGACAAAGCAGCTGACGGGGGCCGAGACCGCAGAACGGAGATCTCTGGGGCTCCGGAGGCTGGGGTCTTAGCTGGGGTCCACGGAACCCCCCCCCCATGTCCCCAGGGATCTGTGCACAGAGGTCAGAGAGGCTGAGGGATGGAGCTGTCACGTGACAAGCTGAGCCTCGGCTCTTTCAGGCATCCCGCGAAGGCTGTGATGCCCACCAGAGACCCCGCCCTCGTGGCGCTGGCTTAAGCAAAGGGATTTTAAAGCCTCAAGTGCAGCCAACATTCACTGTGGCAGGAGGGGGCTAAGGACCCCAGGCTGTGAGGCTGAGGGGGGTGACAGCGGCAGCAGCCGGGGATGGTTTGCAAAACGCTTCCGTGCTGTTCTCATGCCCATTACAGGTGGTGAAACTGAGGCAGGCCAGGGCTAGTCAATGACCATCTGAAGCTGGATTTGCATTCAGGTCTTCCTGACTCCAAGCCCTGTGCTCTATGCGCTGTGGCGCTCTCTTGCTGCCTCGAGGCCAAAGATCTGGGTTCAAATTCCATCACTATCATTTTACTCCCTTGGATATGGGAGCACTTGGTACTTACTACCTGTAACTTAGAGCAAGTCCCTTCCCCACTCTGGGCCTCAGTTTCCTCATCTGTAAAGTGTTGGATGAAATGATGCCCAAGATCCCAACCACAGCTCCATCCTATGGTCCTAAGTGGTAGAAGGTCTACACCTGAGACTAAGACTTGTGAGTCCACGCGTTGGGTCCTTCCCACTGCGGGACACTGGGGAAAAGGCCTTGGCCCTCCCCTTGTGAGGGGCCTGGCCAGAGATGACAGCGGGCATAGTTATAGGCTGGTAGTCGCTGGTAGGGATAGGGAACAGTAGTTAGTAGTAGTACTGGTTTGTAGACAACGGATACAGTAGTGAGTAGTAGTGGTCCTAGGGAGTACTATGTGGTGGTAGTGCTGTGACCAGGGACAGTAAATAGGAGGGGCAGTTTGAGTGGTCAGTGGTGGTGCCAGGTAACTGTCAGAGTGTTAGGTGACAGTAAGAATGGCAGTTAGGAGTGGCTGGTAGTGGTGTTACTAGTGATAGGAGGGAGGAGCGCAGTTAAGAGTTGCTACTAAGAGAAGTCATAGTAATAGTAGTTAGTTCTAGTATGAGGAGGTAGTCTTGGTACTCAGTAGTAGGTAATAGTGGTAGTGAAGTGCAGTTAATAGTAGTAACAGTAGTTAGTCGTGGGACTAAGTAATAGTAATGTTTGTCATTGTAATTAGTAGCACTGGTACCAGGTGGTTGTAGTAGTGGTGTTCCCAGTGACACTAGGCAGGTGTGGCAGTTGAGAGAGTTAGTAAGAGTAGTAGTAAAAGTAGTTAGCATGGTACTAGGTGTAGTAATGGTAGTTATAGTAATTAGTAGTAACGGTACCAGGTGGTGGTAGTTAGTTGTAGGAGTGTTACTAGTGGCGGCAGACAGAAGTGGTGGTTGAGAGTAGTCAACAGTAGTAGTGACAGTAGTTAGTGAGAGAGTGATGACAGGCAGTAGTCACGGCAGTTAATGGTAATAATGGTCACAGTATCACTAGCAGTAGTGGGTAGACGTGGCGGGTAAGAGTAGCCAGTAGTAGTAGTGATAGTAGTCAGTAGTGGTATGAGGCAGCAGTAATGGTAGGCAGTAGGAGAGGCAGTCAGCAGCAGGTAGCAGTGGTGGTAGTTAACAGCATTAAGTTCACTCACACTGGGCAGTTAGCTCTAGGCAGGCGTAGGTTGGCAGTGGTTGTTAATGGGCGTGAGGGCAGCCATCCAGAGCTGACTGAGCACAGGGACCATGGCAGTAAATCACCTGCCTGGCCCACTCCCTCACTCTACAGCAGCTGGCGCCAGGACCCTGACACCCATGGTAACAAGGAGGAAGCGTCTGAGAAAGGTCACATTGTGGCCCAAGGCCAAAGCCAGGCCCTGTAGGCCCGGGGATTCTGGGCCCGGCGCTCCGTTCACCAAGGCCAGGAGTCCCTTGGTTCTTATCAGAGAGGGGGCAACCTGGGAGCCAGGCCAGCGGCCTCTCCCCAGTGGTGGCTGTCCTAAGCACACCTACGACCAACCAGTCCTGCCCTGTTAAGGCCTGGGAGACCCACAGGGAATGCCCCAAGGTCCCAGCAGCAGCCAAGTTCAGTTTGAGCCCAGCCTGTCTCAGGAGGACAGTGACCAGGCTGGGGAGGGGAGGGTCCCAGGTGCAGCAGCAGCGTGGACGGGGGAGCGAGGTGGCCAGAAGTCCAAAGGCCTGGGTCCTCGCTCACCTGAGTCTTCCTCTGGCTCCCTGTCCTTCTTTCCTCCAATCCGTCCCTGCATCTCAGTGGTCTCTGTGAACCAAAGAAAGGTCAACGACAGCCATGAATCTTGCTATACCTTCCCCATCCTGGGCTCCCAAGATGGATTTTTTTGAACCCCATGAAGTCCTTTCCATTCACCCCATTACACATCAGCTCATTCAATGGGTCCCATCTCGCATAGTGAGGCAGGATGAGGTACAAAGTGGACACAGCATCCAGACCCAAAGCCAGGAGAGCCCAGGGTTCAAATCCAACAAACATCGAGGGGGCAGGACCACGTAAAAACAAGCTCCGAATCACCAAGAGTGAGGTGCAAAACGGCAGAGATGAAAAACAATGGGAACAGCCCATGCTTGAGGGGCTGCGGGAGGACAGACATGCTGATACATTGTTGGTGGAGCTGCACGGGGGCCAACTGCTCTGGAGTCCCATGTGGAATTACAGAAAGAAAATCACTCAAGTGTCCGTGCCCAGCAACCCACCTGGGCATGACCTAGCCCACAGAGTCAAGAGGGAGCAGGGTTCCACGTGAACCAACATGCTCCGGCAGCATTCTTTGTGACTTGGACACAAAGGAGCGCCCTGGGGAGGTGGCTGCCTGTGCCGAAGAAAAGAAATGACAGATCTGAGGAGCCGAGGAATTGAGAAACGAGAGAAGGTGGAGGAAACCGGGCAGACCTCAACAAATGCTCCACGTGGCAGGCGCCGACCAGCCCGGGGAGGCAGAGAAGAGGAGGGGGTCCATCCAGGCACAGGATCCCTTCACAGATGAGGAAACTGAGGCCCGGGGAGCCGAGCTCTACAGGGAGCCATGAGTCAGGGGGACAGCCCAGGCAAGGCCACGAAAGGAAGGCCAAGGAGAGGGGGGCACAGGGCAGAGCAGCCCCCCCCCCCAGATGAGAAGAAGGCGGTGACTGGGGGGAGAAGGGACGGAGGGGAAAGGATTGCACCCCACCTCAGCAGGGAAGGCGTGCTGAGCCTGGGGTGGCCTCCAGCCCAGCGTGGATGTCCCACCCACCCAGCCAGGGCAGCCCCCGTGGGGCCATTCACCTCTCTCCGGCAGCTGCTCCATCTCTTAGACTCCGAGGGTCCCGTCTCAGCCAGGTGGCGGCCGGGGGAAGCGGGGGCTTTGTCACTGCGGCCAACACCAAGGTGTCACCTGAGTCACAGAAGGCCAACCTGAGAGGAGGAGGGGGAATCAGCTGCCTGGCCCCAGGCTGGAGGGCTCCAGGGCTGGCAGAGGCCCACCCGAGACCCACCCGAGACCCAGCTCAGGCACATCCCCTGGACTCTCTGGGCCTGTTTTCTCTCTGTAGAATGAAGGAGGGAGAGGAAAGAGGAGAGGGAGGGAGAGAAAGAGAGGGAGGGAGGGAGAGAGGGATGGAGAGAAAGAGGGAGGGGGAGGGGGAGG